TTATTTCTACAAACAATCAACAGTGAGCCGTTCCTCAATACCTTAGCATTTTTGATCTCACCCAGCAATTTATTTATTGCTTTTGTTAATTTAACCGGGTTCCACTCACCAAACGTCGTCCCTTCTTCATATAATTTTACGATCACTTTATGTTCTTCTTCCTGCCTTGTTGTTACAATAACACTTTGCTCACTATCAGTTTCATCCATATTCGTTGTTTCATTTCCTTTTTTTTCCCGTTTTCTCGATCGTACTACATTCCATACACTACTATCTCCCCCGCCATCTTCTTCGAATCCCATCTCACTTCCTGACTCGTCACTTCCTTCTGCCATTTCCTGCCCAGTCACAGTCCAGCCGTTGCCAACCCCAAGCGCTACCGTCAGCGCCACTTGCTGGTCTGGGGAAGATCCGCCTGGATCATCCTCTTTGCCACTGTCAATTATTTCTCTAAAATCACGATCGCAAACGGGAGCCGAGATGGTATCAAACCTTAGGACTGGGGCAGGTGCTTTCAAAACACACCGTCTCCCGTAAAAACGGTGCATTACTTTATCAGTACCGTGAATAATCTGCATCAGATAGGGATATTGTGCATATCTCTCTACACCGCTGGTAAGTTCTCGCCTCTTCCTTATGCTGTTTGAGCTCGGCATGAGCTTAATCTTCTATCACAGTGTATGCAATTCATTCATTATCATTATTAAGGTGAAACACTGACACGTTGTTCGAGGCTTTGCTATAACGATCACTTGCATTGAAATTCATTCAAGATTAATACTGATATATAGAGATTTATCGGGAGAATGAGCACCCCTTTTATTGACTAATATCAAATAAGGATGACAACACAATTATACATATATAAATAAACGCACTTGTTAGATTAAAACTGCTGAATTGCGATATTTGATGATGACAGAGCGCAGATGTGAGGCATCAGGGGAACGTTTATACATGTACACCCATGGGCACGTACTGCTGCTGTCAGACCAATTTCAGCTGTAACCCGAGGGCAACTTTAATAAATTCAATGAAGAAAGAAAATGTTGGAGTAGACTTCAATGAATTAGCGAACTGGTTTATATATACTGTATAT